ACTAGGAGTATTTCTACTCCCCCCTGGATGGGATGCTAGTCCATCGCAGGGTTACCCCCAGCAGTAAGTTCGCCGGTACCCATTTATACACCTGGGTGGAGAGAGGCACTGTTAGAGTAAAGTGTCTTGCCCAAGAACAAAACACAATGTCCCCGGCCAGGGTTCGAACCCGGACCGCTCGATCCGAGCGCACTAACCATCAGGCCACCGCGCCTCCCACTTACACGAGCGTGGGACAAAGAAAAATTCTGAGTCCCCGACAGGAATCGAACCCATGACCTCCAGAACACCGGGCGGGCGCTCTATCCGCTGAGCCACGACACCTCATGGAGAGCAAGGTACTTTAACTGAGTTCATATATGACAGGTGTCCTGCATACTGCTAGGATCAACGCTATCGAATTCATCGTGAGTAGTGATAAGTTACCTTGCTCTCCATGAGGTCATGGGTTCGATTCCTGTCGGGGACTCAGAATTTTTCTCTGTCCCACGCTCGTGTCATGTTGATTAATTCACCTTCACAAGAATATACTGTATAAAAATATCTAGGCTGACATTTGCGAAATTTTGAGAATATTTTAGAATAATTTTGTGCGTTGAAAATTTGCAAATACAATACAGTTATATGTTTTTAACTTAACTTAATAGAATTTTCCCTTTCTCTAAACGGTAAAACTAGCCAAAACAACAACAAAAACAGCACTAGCGTATGTTCGATACTAATAACATTTCTGCAAGAAGTTATGTTTGCTGTATCAGGCTTTATTGCCTGCAGTCTGCCTCCTAAACTACATATGCTGTAATCTACCCTGCAGTTTGCCTCCAAAACTACATATGCTATAATCTAAGAATATTGCACAAGAATATCTTCAGCCTTAAAGCGACAGAAAAAAAAGAATCTTCGGACAGTTCCTGTGTACAAAACACACAAACTATCTCCCTGAGTAAATTTCCCCTCGAATTAACCTAGTGGAGATCAGTTTTCCGCGGAACAGCCTTACAGCCCTACACTGAACTTCTACTGATAAGTTACTGTTAAAAGGAAGACGACTCGTCTGAACTCTTTAGGAATCAAGTGAACAAGTCAGACAAAAAACCGTTCAATTTTCTTTGTACATGTCTTTTCAAAGCACTCTTCATTATTGTGCCACGCCGTTAGTTGACTTTTCAGGTAGAAGAACTGCTCATCAGACCACATCTCGCTGAGAGCCTGGACTCTAGTATCCCACCGGTTGGGTCCACAGTCCTCTTTGTCGGCAGTTTCATCATCTTTCTTCAATGCAACCTGGCCCTGTATGATGACCTTAGCTGTGTTTGGCTCGCCTTCTTTGATTGTGAAGGTTTCTACGTTTGTTTCGTCGTAAACGGTGTTTGTGTCTTTCAAAACAACACATCCAGCGTCCAAGGAAACAGTCAGAGTGTATTCGTCCGACAGCTGAGCAATCTCAAGATTCCTGATAAGCAAAAAGAGAAAAAAAACACACACATAGAAGTGTTTAGTTCCTATATCTTCTACAGTGTCACAATCATCAGTCCATGCCCATTCCCCACAGCCAGCCAGAAGGTATTCCTATTTTTTCCCACTAAATGAAAAATTCCCTGGGGTAGGGACAAATAAGTGGGTCAAATGCCCCAGGGCTCGTCCAGAACTATAACACTGCTAAAATTTCATAAATCATAATGAGGCGACTTTTTCGACACAATACAATGCGCTCACCTTTTCTTCTCGGGATTTCTCCGAATCTCAACAGGTAACCTTGCATGCTTATAGTCAGGCCACTCAAATTCTTTCAACTGTGCATCCCTTTTACGTACTTCTTCATTTGATACTCGAACCGGAAGTAGTAGCTTACTCTTACTACCGGTCTGTATCGACAGGCATGACGCGTGCGGAGAGGGCCAGACATACGGCCAGTGGACCGAGGAGAGCGCCAGACGTATTTTATGACCAGCGGCTACAGTGTAGGCAGTGGAATCAAATTTAACCTGCGCTTGGAAGGTTTCATCAGGCTTCAGAGGCTGGATATCCTTTGGTGAATGACCACGAAGATGGGTCAGGTTTAGAACGCCTGTGGAGACATCGATAATGAAGGGCAGGCATTATTTCCACTTACTTTCGAAATAGAAGGTTTAAAAAATTACGTTCATAGTCTTAAGAGGTTTCTTAATAGATCCGTTAACTTTGGAGCTTTTGGAAAGGATCAAAACCTGGCACGAAATTAAAATTTAAAAAAAATTGTTGTCTCTGAAGCATAATTCCCAAAATTATCTCAAGATTCATATCCTTTAATTCCAATTTGATCAGTAAAATTATCTCATATCTGATAGACTTCTACATCGCCTTCTCCAACCTATTTTGCCGGCCCTTCTCGAAAGTTCCAGAAACTGGCCACCAACTGATTCACTGGCATTCTTCATGATATCGTAATTGTAGTGGGGTAGCTGGACATTTTGTCAATTAACTTATAAAGGTATCTGTCTTCCTCGAGGTGTAAACTTACCTCGTGTTATGAGAGAAGACTCCCCGTCTGGAAATATGTCACACAGTCTAGCGGCTATCTGAGCACAGGGCCTGTCACAGCTCAACAGCAGATGAACCTCCGCAAATCCCAAAACCGCAACAGGCTCTTTAAGTGTTGCTGTCTCCCAGCACTCCGCCAAAGCGTCTTCTAATCTTTGCTCCACAGGCAGCTCCTCAAGACTAAACACCAACGGAAGACCGCCCCATGAACCGCTGAGGAAAGAGGACCTAACTGATACCTCGGATTCGATTGGCTGGTTTTCAGAGGATTCATTCCCCGATGCTAGTGCCAGGCCTCTGTCATTTTGTAAAATGAATTCTTGACATTGTACATTGGGTGAGGGCCAGCGATCTTCTGCTATCCATCTTCCTGGCCAAATATCTTCCTTGTGTGCATTTGAAATGCCTGTTGAGGGTATGCCAAAATGAATAATTCACGAGGCAGGAGTTACAATAAGGTTACAAAAACACATAAAACTCATATACAACTTACATTTTCTACATTAATGCTAATTTCAACAGTACCGGCTGCACGAAATAACTGTTGAGTCAATTTTTAGCCAAGATGAAGAAAAAAGACTTCTGTCGCACCCCTTCCTCACTAAAACTAGACGTCAAGAGAGATGCTTGGCGAAAATCTGCTAAAGATCCTTAAAGATCTCTATAAGTATCTTTGTGTATCTGTTTAAACTTGATGGAAGTCTTTTTGGTTCCTTATTCAAGTTCTTAAAGATCTCATAAGATGATTTTCAAGATCCTGCATAAATTTTTGAATCATTTTTTTTCAGATCTGCTCCCTAGTTCTTTAGTTTCAAATCAGTACTGACATTGTTGATAATGTTACTAATTTAACATGCACTTATAAAGGAACATGGACCCACCATCCCTCAGGTACAGCCTCATCACAGGTTCATCCATGACACCAGTTGGCAGGTCCTTCAAATGACAGTCCCACCACCTCACACACTCCTTTAGGTGGTCTATTCGAGGCCCTGGTGAAGAGTCAGCAGGCCATGCATGGGACCATGGTCCAATTAATGCACGGACAGGGCACTTGAGATGTTCTACCATACGAAATACTGGGTCAGCATAGAGATCAGAAAATCCACCAATCAGAAACACGGGACACGTGATGGAGGTGTAATCTTCACAAATGGAACCGTGTTGCCAGTAAGGATCACGTGCCTGATGTGACAACCATTTGTGTACCCATGGTTCACTTGATTTGTTCAAGCGTTCTAGCCACACTTCCTTCCATCTAAGGCAGCAATTAAAATTACATCATTTTATTCAGCTATTTCTTTAATCTCCTCTGACCTACCAACCCTCGCATCTCCACATCCATGATTAAAACATCAGGGTACCGGAAGCATGTTACAGGGTTGTGCTCTAGGAGCGCCCAGGTGCCACAGGGTACTAACTTTTGCCTTTGGGCAACTAGGAAAACTTACTTTTTTCATACAAGCTTAAGTTCTGGGCATCTAGAATTTCATGGTTGTGGACCCTTGGGCTCCTCACAATTTTGCTTAGACCACAGCCTTAATGTTAGAAAGCCTAAAAACAGGTTATTTGCCAGTTGTCTTGAAAGAGCCCAGGCGAGTATCTAACTCATCCTTAGTCGTCTTCTTACAACTTCATACAGCTGGCGCAGCACATGGCAAGGTGAAACCTCGCACTTCTCCCTTTGCGCTGTGCCATGTGTTATATGAGGACCACTGAGGACGAGTCAGGGCAAGTATAAAAATATGATCTCACAACTTGACCGGGCTTAGTAGGGCACTGCATTGGTACCACAGAGGCCATGGGTTTGAGTACCGTTCGAGCCTAAATTGTTCCAGGCTTAAAGACCTGTGAATACATCAGATAACTGCTTCAGTTCAAATACACAATATATTTCATAAATTCACTTGTAGGATATTTTGTCAGTCAAAACCAAGTTATTTTCCTACAGAAACAAAGAAACCCTTGACATCACAGGAATTAAGTTGTTTATTAACTGGTTCATGTTGTCATGCCAGACATCTGATTAAGGTGATCCATCAGTCAAAATTTGATGAGACAATTTTTAATGCCTGATCATGGCGTTAATCTACAAGTTTGTGTTGCCTGGACAACTTAATTCAGAGACTGGGCTACCTGTTAAGTAGTAGCACCCCACCCAGGAGAGATGTCAATGGTCCTAGTGGCATCATACATTTATCTGTTCGTAGGCAAATGACATACCTTTATTTGCTGAGGTAATATATATGGGTTATTGACCGAGCTTGAGGTCAAGATGGCTGGATATTGGCCACATTCTTTTTGGGTGTGCTTGTGGACTGAGATGGACCCAAGCTATTGGTCCATACAAACAAACAAAAAAAGAACCAATATCCAGCCATCTTGCCCAAACAAGCTTCGTCAATAAAAGATTTATTATATGAGAAAAGAACACTATTTCTTGCAGGACACAGCGGGTAATCCCAAACAGGCAAGATAGTTCCATCTTGCCCACTCGGTTACCCCAATCACAGTACAGGACTCAGTTCATTTTGTCTGCTCTCAAAGCTAGCCACATAATATACAGGCATCTTAAAACTTGATGAAACATATTTATTCAAGCAACTACCTTGTTCCTAAGCTCTCTGGATGTGGAGGGCGTGCATTCCAAAGGAACATGATGTGAGCCCACGACAGCATTTCTCTGGCAAGAACACAGCCACCGCGGTAATGTATGTCATCAGCATACCGATCATCAGTGGAATAAGTGGATATGATAGTCTTCAATGCAGAGGGTCGTCTAGCTGCAACCTGAAGGCCATTGAATCCTCCCCAGCTTTTCCCATACATACCTGAAACAAACATCAGCTAGTATATTATGGTTGCTAATAATTCAGATTTTCCCTTGTTGGCATCATTTTCCAGTGTCAAGCAAATGAAATTGTTATTGCTTCCCAAGACTTTAAAACTAATAACCTGGTTTCCCAACTCTGAATAACACATTAGACAACTACAGCTTAAAAAAGAAACATGTTTTGAAAGAAACTTATAAATTTATACTTTGCACTCCATCTACATCCAATACACACACACAAACCTATTGCAAGAGTTAGATTGACTCTTCTTTGAGGTGACCAGGCAGTATACCTGTCCACTATAGGCACGCTGACTACCGCTAAAACAGACAGTGTAACCCCGTAGGGGGGGGGGGGACTCCCATATAAAAACCCTTAACCCCCTAAGAAGTACCAAGATTCTGTTTTGTGGGCATGGTTTGAAATTTCTTTCACCCCTTAGAGGTACCAATTCTGAGAAAAAATTAAATGTCACTGACAGTTGATTTTCAAATACGTCCTGTCATATTTTTTCAGATCAATATCCTAAAAGGTACTGCAAAAGCTCCCACTGTGGACCATTTGAGGATGTACACCTAAGAGGTACTAAGACTGCCTTTTTTTTTATCCCCCTAAAGGTACCATGAACACTCCTGTGGGAATCTGACCCTATCAGGTCAACATATTTCACTCCCATCTTCAGCCTTTACTTGTTTCATTTTCTTTTAACTTTCACAACCTGATTCCCAAAAGGTCCAGTTGACTTCTGCTGTGACTGGCTGTTACTACAATGTCTTTTAACCTGACTTCTTGTAAGTCAAGAATACTTAAAATACCTTGATTTGACTTCCAGTAGATGTGTAATCTAAGAAGTTACTAAGTGTGACATTAAGTTCACATGCTCAATGGACAATCCTTGGGGCAATTGGACTTCTAACAACCTATCTACAAGGAGCCTAGTAATAATAAAGGCTGCAATATTCAGTATACCACAACCAAGATGTTCTTTGCATTGAGGGAAGACTTACCAACATTTCCAGTACACCACTTTTGCTGGGAAATCCAGTTAATGACATCACAACAGTCATCCTGCTCTTGTTTTTCATATTCGTCATAATAAAATCCCTCAGAGTCCCCAGATCCCCGCATGTCTACCCGCACACAAACATAGCCATGAGAGCAAAAATACGAGTGGGTCTTCTCATCTCTTTGAGCTGTCCAGTCGACACGACGATATGGCAGAAATTCTGGAAGGCAAATAATACTCCGTAAAAGTTTAAGCTATGGGAGTTAGGCTGTGGTTAACTGAATTAGCAGTGTGGATCAAAGAGAGGGGCTTGTTCTCCTTTATGGCAGCAAGGAAGGAGTAGTCCTCACTTCAGGTCACCCTTTTCAGCACTGCTCTTTGGATCCAACACTGTTCAGGACGGCATTTCTCAAGGACTGGACTAGCCATGGTCTGAGAATGGGTAGCACTTATAACTAAAATAAGCATTTGCTCAAAATTGTTAAAACCACTGAGAAAAACCATGCTTCCCTTTTAATGGAAATTCATTGAGTATCACACAACAGTGTAGTTAATATAAGTACATGTTTTAACACTAGCCAAGGATAACCGAAAGTTTTTTCCTGCCTCACTAAATCTAGATAATATCACAAAACTCTAATTAAGCACAGGATACAGATTCTCACCTAATATAGCAGGATATTTTTCATCTTCTGCAGACTTGTCAGAATCAACCAAGTCTGGTATCCAGAGTTTGCCCGCCAGTTTGGTTCCATCGCGCAGTTGGATCCATGTCAACAGTTTTCGATTCACAGCATATGTCATATTTGTTTGTGCAGTTATTTTCTAGAAAATAAGTCATAGCAAGAAGTGTTAGTTTCAACCAGTACTTACTCACTCATACCCAGTCCCATTATCCCAGGTAGAGTGTAGGACACTACTTAATCCCTCAACAACTGCCAACCCTTGGCCACGACTTGAATGCTGCTTGATCCAGGTGCTCTAGTACATGAGCAGTTCATGTTTAGTCATAATGGTTTATATTTCGTATTTATACTAGAAGTTCTCAGTTCTCAAAGAGAAGATTAATGCTGTTTCCCTTTGAAACTGAGCCAAACTCTGTGCTTGCTACTGTAAGGCTGTTATAGGAATCATTTAAGTTTTTAAAAACAACAAACGTTGCATTAATTTTTGGCTAGTGGCAGGACTCCCCCAGGCCAATAATGAAAAACTCAGAGAAACTCAGACACATGTATTTTTGAATAACCAAAACATATTGTTGCAAGCTGTGTCACTTCGCTTTGTTATTAACCATGTGGCCCGGGGCTGAGGGTGGTTCATGTTTAGTCATGACGATTTTATATTTCTTTACTTAACGAAGAGACAGAGTGACAACTGTCAAGCAGTAAAACAAGCAACCTCAATTTACTTGACAAAACAAAAGGATTTCATCTCTCACCGCCCAGTTTTACAGGCCAATTTCTTTATTAAGTAACTTTGCCTTGTATTTGGTTGGTTTGCAAGACAAACGATATTATTCCAGGATGTATAGAGAGTCAATGCAATATATCAGCAAATTTCTCTTATTAGATTCTCTCACAACAAGTTCTCGAGAATCGTGGTTTTTAAGCTTACGTACAGAGAAAAAGATTGTATGTTTGGCTATAACGAGAGGTTTATTTAAGAAAATACATGCCACGATATTCAATTAAGCTTATTAAGCTAATTTTAGCCGCAAATCAAATCTGATCACCACGAAACCGAGTTGATTGCCTAAAACTAAGCTTACCTTGTTCAGCCAATTGTTTTAGCTCAAACATACCTTCGAACGTAAACAAGGAACTGAACTGATTAATTTGACGATTGCTAATCTTGATTTGCTAATTTTGCCAGCCGTCCAGTGGTACCGCTCGTTCCAAAAATTTTGTCGGTCGAGCAATTGTCTCGAAAGCCTGGAAACAGCCAAAGAGCTAATGGAACTTTGTAAGAACGAGCCAATTTGAAGTAGTAGGAACTATTTTCATTCAATGAGGTGCCAAAAGTTTGCCCGGTATTGTAAAATTTCACCAAAATGTTCAATTTATACTCACCAAATATTCCTGGATTGCGTGTTTAGAAAAGACAGAGCACTGGAAACGAAACTCCTCCTTCAATGCCACAGGAATACCACGTTTTATCGGGTGAACGACGTTTATTTTCGAGGCACCAACATGACAAGAAACGATAAAGCAGGATCGCAACAGTGGACACAGCTGTTGTCCTTCTTGGGACTCGTCAGCACTGTGCAGCGAAGATAAGTAATGACCTGTTTAGTTTTATCGCATTTCTCGCCACGTCGGGGATTGAAAGTGGCTCATTTCTCTCCATGTCGCGGATGAAGGTGGCTTATAAGCAGGAAGAATCATCCAGTTTCTCTACCATTGCCGGAACTGAACTTGCAAGACTACGTTACTAAATTCGAAAAAGAAATTTTAAAAAATGTTCACGTTTCCCAGAATACGCAGAATTTGGTCATTTCACGCTGTTGTTTTGCAGAAAACGGGGGAAAATGCACGAAGATTATTTCCACAGTGCTTAGCCATAGTCATCACCGTGCCTATCATTTCTAGCCTGTGAAGCTCCTGATTGGTTTATAGTGAAAGCTAGCTGAATATGGCCTAGAGCGAGCGTTCTGTTCTCAGGCTAGATATTTCCCTGAGTTCTCTAACTTGAAAATAGGGATTTTAGGCAGCTAACCACGTATCCGTTGCCTTTCTCGAAGGCCCTAATAAGTTATCAAACCTTGAACGGCCATTCCATTAAGAAATGACATTTTTACTAAAATTTAAACTGGTTCTCTTGGTTATTCCTAGTGGGCGTGATGCGACAAGTTCAAGCTGCAGGGAGCCTGGCCGAGAAACCGGCTGGATAGAGAAACCTGGTGCTCATATCGACTTACTCACGAAGCATGATCAATAATAACTGAGACTTATGAAATGTGAGTGTAAAGCATCAAAAATTATTTACATATAGTCCCTTGGTTCCTAAGTGGAGCATAGGTCATCCACAGTTTTCTTCCATTGCTCTCTGTCCTGAGCTTGTTGTTCAATTTGGGTCGCAGGCCTATTTGCCGCAGTTCTTGTTCGGCTGATCTTCTCCAATTGTTTTTCGGCCTACCACGGTTTCGTTTGCCTTGAGGGTTTCAAAAGAGTGCCTGTTTAGTTACCGAGTTGATTGATTTTGTATCTGCTCATTTCGTTTGCAATCTGTTGAGCTCTTCCAGCCTCAAACATGGTTCGCCTAACGTTTCATGTCCCAAGAACGGTGGTAGTCCTGGGTGTGAGTAATCGGTTCGGCCCTGCAGCGTCCACGTTGTGAATTAGGGTCAATCCCTTTTGCGATTGATTCTCTTGCTCCCAAGACTGGTTGAGTGATGCGAGTTCCTGTAGACGTTTTTGTGACCACGAGAGTTTTACGAGAGTAGGGGGTTAGCCAACTGCTCAACCCCCAACCTGGAGGGTCAGGGTTTTTCTGTCAGGGTTTTTTGTTCGTTCCCTTAGCCGACTGGGATTCTGTTATTTAAAGGTGCCGGATGCTCGCCTTTCGCCGTTGTTGCTCAGCTGCAGTATGAAACTGCACTATCAGGGTTACAACGAGGATGTGCAACAGCCGACTTGGTGGCAGAGCCTGTTTGAGACGGTGGGTATTTCCCGGCATTTGGAAGTTGCACCTGGTGGCCCTAGTGCACCCAACCGAGAGCCATTACCACCGTACAACCCCCAAGAATTACTTACTTTAGTGATAATCATGATGTCATGGACGCCATAATCCGCTATCTGGGATTCCAAAACTTTTTTCTAAGTCAGAACAGCTCCAGAATTGGCTCAAAAAAAAAAGGTAAAATTGAAGAGTACAAGAATTTGAAATAAAACTGACATGAAATCTATTCTAGCTAAAACAGAACTAAATTGACGTGAATCACTCTTTGAAAACATGGTTGCCCTGGACACGTTAAGTCACGTGACCAGCAAATTTATGTATATACTAAAACGGTTTCCTGGTAAGCGCGCGGTAGTCAAATCAAATCGTTGAGCACAGTTCTGACAACATAGTCGGAAGCTGGGAGGAGCCACCGAACATTTGATTGACGGTAGCGAAAAACGCATTTGTCGGTTGAGCTTTGAATTTTAGAGTCCGCATGTTATTGAAAGGCGCAGTAATAAGCAATCGTATTTAGCAATCGTAATGAAGTGGTTTTTATATTCTTTGTGATATATAAATACATAAATAAAAATACAAAAAAACAAAGGTCAAAAAGTTTGAACTTTAAACCTTGAACGGTGTTGTTATAAGAAAGGAATAAAATCAGGCACGGATATTTATTTATTTATTTATCTATTTATTTATTCATTTATTTATATTTATTATACTGGTTTCCACCGTTTTACGGAAATCGGTCAGACTAATAACCCTTGGTTAACAAAGGTGTAGAAGTGTCTCATTTAGCTGTATAAAACAGACACGTTAGGAAAAATGCGTGGTCGTTCCACCAAATCAACTCGATGTTATAAAAGAGACAGGGAACCATCAATCTCAATGCGTCACTGATTACAACATTAATAAAACAACTTTGTGACATTTTTATTGACCCGAAAGCACTTATATGAGCTATATAGGTATGTGCGGCCCTAAGGGTATGGTTTTTCAGCCATTTTGGTCATAAATAGGGTATGGTTTTTGCACTCTAGCCTTGATATGGGTATGTTTTTAAGAGGAAGCCACTTTTTCA